TCGACCTCCTCTTCCCCCTCCTTTATATACGTGGGAGGGGCACACCAAAGACACACCAAGTCTTCTCTTAGACGTGTGCGGTGCTCCCCTCCACAATTACACACCTCGGTCATATCGTCGTAGTGCTTAGGCGAAGCCCTGCGCCGGTAGCTTCATCATCACCATCGCCTCGCCGTCGTGCTGACGAAACTCTTCCTCGTCCTCAACTGGATCAAGAGCTCGAGGGACGTCATCGAGCTGAACGTGTGCAGAACACGGAGGTACCGTACGTTCGATGCTAGGATCGTTTGAATCGTGAAGACGTTTGACTACATCAACCACGTTACTAGACGCTTCTGCTTTCGGTCTACGAGGGTACGTGGACACACTCTCCCCTCTCGTTGCTATGCATCTCCTAGATAGATCTTGCGTGATCGTAGGATTTTTTTTAAAAAATACTGCATTCTCCAACAGACGCAAGGCGATTCATGAAGGCATCTTTTAGCCACCATTGTCGACTTTCTGTTTTATTCGGTGTTTTTTGAATGATCTGGGTCAACTACCTGTTAAGCAAATGGCAAGACCGCAACTGAGATCGGCTGCAACAAGATGGAGCGCTCTAGCAGCGGGATTTGTCAAAATACACGTTGATGCTGTTGTAGGTAGGAATGAGATAGGGATGCTATTGCAGCTATCTGTAGAGATGACACTGGTGAATACCTGGGAGCCTCCGCCACGAGAATTCCAGACATGACTGAACCTGAAATTCTGCAATCAATGGCGTGCAACGAGGGGCTGTCTTTAGCTGCAGATTTGGCGTGCCAGAGACTAGTTTTATCAACGGACTGTGATGCGACAGTTAACCATGTCAAAGGAAGTTACATGGGTCGTTCGGGAGTGATTATTGATGAAATCAAAAGAAAGATTTAGAGCTTTATGGCGGTGCAAATCATACATGATAACCGGGCACTGAATTTTGAGGCACACAGTCTGTCCAGGGCAGCTTTGTCTTTAGATGTTGGTAGGCACTTATGGCTCACTAATAGGCCAGATGTTATTTGTATTCCGCCGAACATTATGTTTGAATAAAGTGCTTTTCAATTCTAAAAAAAACATATAAGGTGAGTTGTTCCATGCAACAGTAAGAGCTCGAGAAGAAGTCATATACACGCACTTTTCCTTCGTCGTCCGCCTCATGTTTCGTGATCAAGCTGAGCCACGCTAGGACCTATGCAACGTGTGTGCGATGCCTTCTTTTTGGCACGCAAGAAAGAAATCAAAACGTTTTTTTTGCTAGTGGAAGATGAAACTGAATTGTTGTGGACTGTTTCTCTCCCCCTCCCTAGTGGCACACCGCTTCTCTTCCTCTTCTGAGTGGTCAGTTGCAACTCGCCTATAAGCGGTCACCACTTCTCTTGTGCGCGTGCGACATCGTCCCGAAGCTTCACACTGCCTACCTCTTCCCATCTCTCTTCTCCACGTGCACCGAGAAGTGAGACAGCAGGCCTCCGGAACCCCGTCTCTTGTTATTATGTAACTGCTGGATTCTTCTCTGCTGTGGTTGCACATGACTACTTTCTCAACGACGACTATCTCATCACCAAAATGTCACTACCTGGTGATGGCAATGCGACTGTGAATGCCTCTTCATCCACCATGCTGTATGTGTTCGTATCCCTTTCCGTTAGGGATTGCGTCTAGATTATTAGTACTATCAATTGATTTGGACATGTCGATATCGATATCATAATATTTACTTGATTATATGTCTATACTATGTGTATACTTACTGTTCATTTGACCTTCATGCTTATTATGTTCGTGATGAATTATCTATGCATTTCAGGATTAAATGATATGCAAAATTGCTCAAATATTCTGCAAAGATGATTTAGACACTCTATTGAAGTACTACTTTCATGACAGGTTGTTTTGATGATCTAGACAATTTTATCAACAAAATGACACACAAACTATTGAAGATATTCCAAGAAACCGGAAAGACGACTAGGCAGCAGGACAGCAGCAGAAGGGAGGAAACTTTTAGAAACTTTTAAGGCGACAGCAGGAGAGCATTGCATCTCGCACAGTGGCGCAGCACAGCTCCGGTTTTGCGCAGCACAGCTGCACAGCTGCCTGCGCAGACGCTCCCTCTGCCACCCCATTAATGCCGACCCCATCCCCCCTTCCCACCCCCACTCCTCCTTCCTTCACTTCCCCTTCCTTCCCTACCTTTTGCCCCCCTACCTTCCAACCATCCAAGAAAACCCCAACCCACAGCCCAAGAACACGACAAGAAGCTGGGGTACTTCCGCACCAAAATCTGCATACGGACAGATTAGTTTGGGTTAACTCTCCCAGCGAGTCCTTGGCGGCCATGGAGAGGGAAGGGGGGCCCAAGTTCGAGCGGAAGGCCGGAAGAGGGGGCGATGGTAGAACCGCTGGTGGTAATGGCGGCGGCGGCGGGGGCGGCGGCGGCAGTGGCGGGAATGGGAGGTGGAAGTGGAGCGGAGTTTACGGTAGCGGCGGCGGCGGCGGCGGCCACCGACAGTACCCGATCATCCAGGCCTACCCGGCGCTCCTCCCCCTGCCTATAAACTCCGGCCGCGCGCATAATAACGGAGCGGTCGCGCTGCCCCTGCCGCCGCCTGTGCTGCTGTACCTGCAGCAGCCGCCGCCGCTGCACCTGCTCCCCGCCGCCGCCACGTGCTACGGGAAACCCATGGCCGGCGCGGCGCAGAGGGGGCCAATGTGGACGCACCGGCCATCCAAGAAGCCGCCGCCGCCCCCGCACGCCGTCACCGCCGCGCTTCTGCCGCTCCCGCAGGGTAAAAAGCACCTTTTTCTCGGTTACTTCCCGCATCTTTGTTTTTGTATTTTCTACTACTAGTTCATATATAATACCTGGGTGGTTGTGTTCCCCCAATATATTACTCAATGCGAGCTAGAGTAGTTTTTACTTGCAGCTATTTTTTTTATGGGTGATGATGATGCATAGTTTGATGTGAAGTGGTGTCTGCTAGCTGTATAGTTAGGGATTAATGGCTTGCCATACAAAGGTAATGCAGTACAGTGTTTTCGGATCAATACTACAGTGCAGTATAGTTAGTCAAATGGAATGTCAGGAAGCTTGTGATTTCATGGATTTGTACTTTTGATTGTATGCTTGTCTGCTGTTCCTTTTGTGCCATATATTGGATTAATCTGCATTCCTTCGGAAGGTGGGATGCAATTTTGACAGTTTGAGCTGAGACACAGCCAAAGTGCTATTTGCGGTACTGTGGATGACACCTTTCTCACTTGAAAGCTAGACCCCTTTCCACTCCTCATGAATGGGGGCATGGTTATCTTTTGGGAGGATCTGCTGGTAAAAAAAATGTTCAATTACCTTTTCTTCCTTTTTGTTGGTACAGTCATGTGCCATTATCTTGGTGCTTGTGCTACTGCTATCTATTTGCTCCATGGTTGCACTTGTTATCTACTCCCTCTGTTCCTAAATATAAGTCTTTTTAGACATTTCAAATGGACTACAACATACATCCGCATGTAGACATATTTTAGAGCGTAGATTCACTCATTTTGCTCCGTATGTAGTCACTTGTTGAAATCTCTAGAAAGACTTATATTTAGGAACGGAGGGAGTATAAGATATAGCTATTGCTATTGTCATTCCCTTGCTTTACATGAGAAGTTATCTTCCTGTAACCACTAGTACATATGATTAGATTCTCTGGCTCCTTACATGTCAGTATCAATGTACTAGCAGATGCCAAGACGCTTCCGCACAAAAAGTTCTCCATACATGAGAAGAAGGCATCTGATGTCGGAATGGATCATGCAAACGGCCATCATAGGCCCTCAAGCAATCACCAAAGAAGTCCCATTGCGCGGAGACCAGACAGTGGGGGGATCGAGGGGGCTGTGATTCCTCTTTCTGCAAATTATTTCCTTGTGCGGTTCAGTCCGGATCAAAAGATTTTCCAGTATGATATTGACATTACCCCACATCCATCGAAGGAAACAGCAAGAATGATCAAGAACAAGCTTGTTCAAGAAAATTCAAGTGTTCTATCCGGTGCGCTGCCGGCCTTTGATGGCCGCAGGGACCTTTATAGTGCTATTGAGTTTCAGGAGAACAAGGCTGAGTTCTTCGTCAATCTCCCAGTTGCATTAGCACGATGTCCAGTAGATAAAAAGAATGGACACATGCTTGACAAACAGAATTTTAAAGTTTTCAAGGTGAACATTCGATTGGTTTCAAAGCTAAGTGGTGAGGACTTGAATAAGTATTTGACCGAAGATAAGGATGGCATTTCACTGCCTCAAGATTACCTCCATGCGCTGGAAGTCATCTTGCGAGAAGGTGCCATGGAAAGTTCAGTTCTAGTAGGCCGGTCTTTGTATCCACGCTCTATGGGAGAAGCAAGGGAGATTGGTGGTGGGGCTGTTGGATTAAGAGGTTTCTTTCAGAGCCTGAGACCAACCAAGCAAGGTCTTGCCCTTAATGTTGACCTCTCACTCACAGCATTCCACGAGAGCACGGGCATGATTCTTTACTTGCAGAAGCGCTTTGACTTCTTGAAGGACCTTTCACATCAAAAAGCTAGGGCTTTGTCAGAAGAGGAGCGGAGAGAGGTGGAGAAAGCTTTGAAGAACATTCAGGTTCGTGTATGCCATCGTGAGACCGACCAAAGGTACCATGTGCATAGCTTGACCAAGGAGACAACCGAAAACCTCAAGTTTCGAGATCGAAGTGCCAAAGATCTTATGGTGGTGGATTACTTCAAGGAGCAATACAACCATGATATACAGTTCAGGAACATGCCATGCTTGCAGATTGGTCGGAGCAAACCATGTTATGTGCCAATGGAGCTTTGTGTAGTTTGTGAGGGTCAGAAGTTTCTTGGCAAGCTCTCAGATGAACAAACCTCCAAGGTTCTCAGAATGGGGTGCCAAAGACCAAGCGAAAGAAAGGGAATCATAAAGGGCATTGTCGAAGAAGAATTTGGTGCTGGAAGGTATGGTTCATCATACTTGTCTTATAATAGTTTTGCAGCAGCACTTGTGAACTATAGAAGTGTCTTTTGTTCTAAGAAAAAATACTCTATGACTCTGTCATGCAGATTTAATCATAGCTACCTTACTTTTCTTGCAGTAATTCTTACACCGACCAATTCAATCTCCAAGTGTCAAAGGACATGACACAACTCTCTGGGAGGGTTCTCTTGCCACCAAGACTCAAGTTTGGTAGTGGAGGGCGCATTACGGATATGACGCCACACCGATTTGATCGTCAATGGAGTTTGCTGGACAGCCATGTTACTGATGGCTCCAAGATTAAAAACTGGGCCTTGATAAGCTTTGGTGGTACCCCGGAGCAGCACTCCTACATTCCAAAGTTTGTCAACCAGCTATCAAGTCGGTGTGAGCAGCTTGGGATTCTTCTAAACAAGAAACCCGTCATCAGCCCATTGTTTGAGCGGATCCAACTTCTCAATAATCCTGGCATTTTGGAGAGTAAACTCGGGAAAATTCAAGAAGCTGCATCAGGCAACCTGCAACTACTAATCTGTGTCATGGAACGGAGGCACCGTGGGTATGCTGACCTGAAACGGATTGCTGAAACGTCCATTGGTGTTGTGACACAGTGTTGCCTTTATCCCAACTTAAGCAAGCTGACCGTGCAGTTTGTGGCCAATTTAGCCCTAAAGATGAATGCTAAGCTTGGGGGATGCAATGTTTCCCTCTACAACAGCCTGCCATGCCAGATTCCCAGAATATTTTCAGATGAGGAGCCAGTGATGTTCATGGGTGCTGATGTCACACACCCTCACCCACTCGACGACTCAAGCCCGTCGGTGGTCGCCGTAGTTGCAAGCATGAATTGGCCTGCGGCAAACAAGTACATCTCCAGGATGAGGTCGCAGACGCACCGGAAAGAAATAATCGAACACCTGGATGTGATGACTGGTGAACTGCTTGAGGAGTTCCTGAAAGAAGTTGGCAAGCTCCCTGGTAGAATCATATTCTTCCGGGATGGTGTGAGCGAGACGCAGTTTGACAAGGTCCTCAAGGAGGAGATGCATGCCCTGCGAGTGGCCTGTTTGAGGTACCCAGGCTACAAGCCCCTGACCACGTTCGTCGTGGTTCAGAAGAGGCACCACACCAGGCTCTTCCACAGGGAGAAGAACGGTGGCTCCACACACTATTCCGATCAGAACATACCGCCGGGGACGGTGGTCGACACGGTGATCACGCACCCGAGGGAATTCGACTTCTACCTGTGCAGCCACTGGGGCACCAAGGGGACAAGCCGTCCAACTCATTACCACGTCCTGTTGGACGAGAACAGGTTCCAGTCCGACGAGGTGCAGCAGCTGATACACAATCTCTGCTACACCTTCGTGCGGTGCACCAGGCCGGTGTCCCTTGTGCCCCCGGCGTACTATGCGCACCTCGCCGCGTACAGGGGCAGGCTGTACCTTGAGAGGTCAGATTCGGTGGCCACCAGCTGCACGACGCTGTACAGATCCACTCCATTGCAGACGACGCCCCTGCCTAAGGTCAGTGACAGTGTGAAAAGGCTCATGTTCTACTGCTGATGCTCTGCCTTGGATCCAATGTATTTTGCACATTTTCTTCTTCTGCAGTGTATTCTGCATCTGCCCGAATTTATCTAGGAAACATGTATAGTGGTGTCCTTGGACAACGATCATGCGCATGGCAGCAGCATCCTACAGTGGTTGGATGTTGGTGCTTGGTTGCATTATGCAAAATTCTGATACCGAACTGCTTGCATTCCTGGAGACGTACCACCTATGCTGCTATGGTGGGGCTTTGCCTTTTCTACAGCCTGGATGGTGAAATTGGTCCCTTTTTTAGCACTAAAATCCCTTCTTTATTCATTCATAGGCAGAGTTAGGGCATCTCCAACTCTGGCCCCAAAATTGGACACCTTATTTGTACGCGTACTAGTTCACGAAGTGGTACGGGAGCTGGCCATTCAACCATGCCCGCATACATTTCAAGGGAGCTCCGCATACATTTCAAGGAAGCCGGCCATTCAACCATGCCCGCATACATTTCAAGGGAGCTCCGCATACATTTCAAGGAAGCCGGCCATTCAACCATCCCCGCATACATTTCAAACCACATTCCAACAAACCGGATGAATTTTATCAAACATGACAGAATTTAGCAAAGTTTGGACATAATTTAAATAAAATGGCCGATATTTTGTATGCTTTACTAAACCAAGCCCACAATACTCAAAGTAATTATAGAAAATAGCATAATTCATCCATGCAAATATCTCTAGTACAACAATAGTTCAAATTCAATGAGATAACCAGATGTTCAACAAGTTTTTCGAAATCATCCATTCCAAATTCAACGATACTAGAGCCAAAGTCGGCACATGTTGTCCCACACAAACTGCCCCTTGAGCTTCATCCAACAACGTGTGTGCGTGAATGGCCTGCGGTCGGTCCTGTAGTACGTCGCAACACGTGCACGCTATACAACATGTACATCAACATTGAGTGAATGAATAAATTAATCAACATGTAGAGCAACATGAAGCAACCGATCTCAATGGTTGACGAGCCCAATGGCCACTTTGTCTCCACTTGGTGAATCACACTGCAAAGCGACTTCACATTGTGTGCATGGATGACGTGCATGTTGTAGGGCACAAAGTTCTTTAACTCATGAAACAAAGCATGCAATTTTTTCCAAAAGGTCGGGCCCTTGTTCATGCCTACAAAGTCCTTATAAATGGCCAACCACACATCACACAACAACTCATCTTCGTACACGAGTACCATATCGTTCTGATTCTCTAGAAAACAATAAGAAGTTTAAAAAAAAAGCTCAATGGCATTTGATCGAACACCTACCGGGCGCGGTGTCCGCCATAGATGGCGTTGGCGGGGATGTAGAGGGATTCCTGGGTGGACAACGGCGTAGTCCAAGGCCGGCAGTCTCGTGGGTGGGGTTTGTGGACGTCCAAAGATGCCTGGGCGGCGGTCGGAGAGGTACAACGACGGCGACAGACGACGAGGGTGCGGATGAAAGGAAGGTGGCGGGGGCAGGGGTGGACTGAAAGAAAGGGGGATCGGGAGGGGGATTCTAGTGGGCCTGGGGTGTCGGAGTCCTACGTGGCTGGCGTCCGGACTCCCGCAAAGCCCCTCTCTCCCCACCCCGAGTTTGCCTCCGGTATATGGGAAAATGGACATCTGGACTAGCCTGCGGACGGATACCGGACCGTGTTGGATGGCAAAAAATGTTCGGATCACGCGGTCCGGATGGATGCGGGCGGCTTGAGGGTCCGCAATGAAGATGCATTTACATCGTTAATAAGCAAAGGGGTCATGACCACAAGGGCATCATCCATCCGCACACTAGGGCTACAAAATCTACCTGCACACTAGGACTACAAAGCCTGGCTTGCCTAGAACATGAGAACTTCTGCGGCATCATCCACCCACATACATGGGAGTACTGGCGGGTGCAACTATCGAACCATTCATTCTCGAGTAGTTGGTTGGAATACTACTTTTGGTGTGAAAACTCTTATCCTGACCTTTATGGTCGTGCTCAACAATGAAAAACTTGTGTTATTACCTTGTTGAAATGTTGTCTACTTGTTCTGATTTTCTTCATGACTGGTCTTGATAAGTAGGATCAAAATCTTTGTCCATGCCATATTTGGCCGGACGAGGCATGTGATGACATTTATCCCTTCTTGAAGGCATTGTTGTGAAAGAAGTAATCTTAATCATATGTTTTTATTTCATATCTCGTAATGATTTGGTCGGTTGTGTTTGTTTTATAGTTTGCTTAATATAATAAGAATTTTTATGTGCATTATAATGACGTAGAAATCGTGAGAGAACTCCTATCCACGCAAAAGATCGCTACATCACATGATTGACTTTGATTTGGTGACACTTCTTGAGTACCCGTCTCAAGCTCCGGGGTGAAAACCTTGGATCTGATCTAGCAATGTCGATGTTTTTTGCATTGTTACCTAGTTGAAGGCATTGCTCAAATATGATCGAACTTATTCTTCAGGGAGAAAACCTAGATTCTAGCCTTTGGTGGTTGGATCCGATGACCACAACGCTTGAGCGTTGTTCCCTTTCCTGAAGGTGTTGCTTTTGAAGAACCTCATTGTCCATGTGATGTTAATGTTGGGGAACGTTGCATGGAAAATAATTTTTTTCTATGCACACGCAAGATCTATCCATGGAGATGCATAGCTATGAGAGGGGGAGAGCATCTAAATACCCTTGTAGATCGCTAAGTGGAAGCGTTTATCAACGCGGTTGATGTAGTCGTACACCTTCACTATCCGTCCCGATCAAGTACCGAACGTACGGCACCTCCGCATTCAGCACATGTACAACTCGATGACGTCGCCTTCTTGATCCACCAAGAGAGGCAGAGTAGTAGATG